TGCAACACTTACAGTTGTATAAATGGCGAAACGCACATCAGCACTGAGCAACTGGTGGCGGTGTGCTTTTGAACTAAAACACCTCAGAGGTGCGTTAGTTCAAAAGCGCACCGCCATGCATTTCACTGCTTTTACAACAGCACACAGCGCAGTGGTTTATCTTAGCTCACATGCAGAGCAGAGTCGATTAATCAAGTCTGCTTCAAAGCAGCAGGTCTTTGGTGCGTCGTGGGAAAAAGAGTACGTGTATAAATGCCTTTTCACTGCTGTTTTAAAGCAGGTAGTCCGTGAATCTGCAGAAAGCTACGTATACTTAGAAACAGTAATCAGAACAATGTACAGGTGAAGTCGATATGGCTATCGCCCACTGACCTTTATCTAAATACTAGTCAAATAAGATTTCATATTGCAAGGCTGGTTGCACACAGTAGAGTATCTTATTTACTGACACACGCACCTGCTGTGGATTTGTTCATTTGTCTTTTTGGGAAGATGAGAAGTCAAGTTTTTATCGTCTAAACATAAAATTCTCATTTGTTTCTAGGTTGATCAGCTGATGAGGAAGTGTTGGATGTATATTCAAACTGAACGGACCACCTTTCGCAACCTTATTCAAGGATTTGAAGCACTTATAAATAAAACCTAATTCACATTTTTGTATTGTCTGTGCTATAAATGTGTCAAAATACAACATGCAAGCCTTCTATTTTTAAATACTGTACTTTGTATTCTGGCTATGCTAATATGAATGCTATGCTAATATTTTTTTGTCTAGTCAGCACATGAATCAAGACAACTTAACACCATAATAGAAATTTGTTTTTAAAAAAAGGCATGTTTGATTAATATGTACATTATATGGATTATATTGGGCTAATCAGAATTGAAGAACATGTGTAAAGAAAGACTGTAATTCTCAGTGCCAACATATGTAGCGTATTAAATATTCTGTCCTTAGAGGGTTTATTTCCTAATTAGCTGAGCTAGAAGGTATACAAAACTTGCCAAGGCAATTGCTTTTCAAGTATGCAAATTTTTATGAGTGTACAAGATTTTTTTTTAAACAGTGGCTGACAGAAAACCCTATAATAGCCTTCATGTGCACATGAGTTTTTAAAACATAATTAAAAAAAAAAATCGGCACAATCATTAGTCCAGATGCTATGTATTATCAATCAAGTGCTTACTAACCAAACAACTCTGCCCCAGTTTAAAGTCCTAACATTTTATGTTGCAGGGGGAAAAAAATAAGTTTTAAACGTCAAGTTTCCACTTAAAAAAGTAAATTTAAACTGAGATGCATGATCCTGAATGTGTGTAAGTAAAAAATTCCCCCTGTCTAAAGCACTGTGTAACATACAAGTGCTCAGTGAGCAAGCATAGTACTCCTTGGCATGAACCGCAGGAGAGCTGCCAGGGTTGGTAAAATGTGTCTGGGAAATCAGGAATGCATGTATGAGAATAACAAAATAATAATCAGACACATAATGCACTCCAGGCCTGGGAGCACTCCTCCAACCGTCACCAGAGCATTCATGTGTCAGGGCCAAGACCTGAACAGTTGTGAGGTCTCCCAGATAAAACAATGTTTGCTTATTGTCTGCCATCACAATGAGCATCTTCAGATGAGCTGCCTGCAAGCTGTTCTTTGACTGACCCACTATCACATGTATTAATACATGTTAAAAAAAACTGTTGGACAAGCATGAGTATGTAAACCTAGACTAGATAGGTGATCCTCCCCCTCTATGCGACACTGGTCAGGCCGCAGCTGGAGTACTGTGTCCAGTTCTGGGCACCGCACTTCAAGAGGGATGTGGACAGCATGGAGAGGGTCCAGAGGAGGGCCACCCGCATGATCCGGGGGCAGCAGGGCAGACCCTACAATGAGAGGCTACGGGACCTGAACCTGTTCAGCCTTCACAAGAGAAGGCTGAGGGGGGACCTGGTAGCCATCTATAAAGTCACCAGGGGGGACCAGCAGGGTTTGAGAAAGACCCTGTTCCCCCTAGCACCCCCCGGAGTAACAAGGAATAACAGCCACAAATTGTTAGAGTAGGTTTAGACTAGCCATCCGAAGGCACTACTTCACAGTCAGGGCGGCTAGGAGCTGGAACCAACTTCCAAGGGAAGTGGTGCTGGCTCCTACCCTGGGGGTCTTTAAAAAGCGGCTTGGTGCCTACCTGACTGGGGTCATTTGAGCCTAGTTTTCCTCCTGCCCAGGGCAGGGGGTTGGACTGGAAGATCTACAAGGTCCCTTCCAACCCTACTTCTATGATTCTATGATACACCTTAAACAACAGCACTTGGATCTTAATGTGGTGGGGGACTCAAAATAGGCAATCACTAAAAAACTCAGTGAGCCAGCGTAAAAACGTATTCAACAGTGTCAGGGGGGCGCCTGGAGCCACTTGAGCTCTGGTCATAATTCTGCTTTTACACAATCTGTAGTTGAAGTGAGGGCCCTGTTCTGTAAATACAGTAGCCTTTTACAGGAATCGTTCATTCAAATTTGAAACCTTTTGCTGACAGCCTCTCTAGAATTTAAGACAATACTGTTTTCCCTAACCCTGGATTCAGAAAATGCTTTGAGGGAATATTCAGCACTGCCTGGAACTGAAAAATGTCTATTAAAATATAACTGTAATTACTAAATGTTAACCAATTTAGATTTATTTTTAAAGTATTATCTGTTTTATTTCTGTACCCCATAAACACATAAACAGGCACTTTGCTACTCTTTTTAAAAACAAAACTAATAAAAATGTTTTCTCTTTTCAGCTGTGTTTTAATTCTAAATTAAATAGTATGAAAGTCTCTCCCAACTTACCTTCCACGGAGTATCTAAAAGCGTGCTAGCTAAAAAATGTGGAATGTTAAAAAGAAAAAAAAAAGACAATTTCCAGCATGTAACTGAAATCTGGAGCTTTTTTCTTCCGCAGAATTACACTGTAAATACACCAGCAGTTTATTTTAGTTAAAAAGAGTGACAATTCAGAAAAGTTGCTTACACAGTAGTGCAAATCCAAATACTACAGGTGAATTTTCAATATCAGATCATACCAAAAAGGCCAGTTATTCTTGTAAAAATGCATTATTCTCATGGATATCTTCATAAACCTCCAGATGAGCAGTGTGTACATGTGCATACTACGTCGACTGTGTAAAAGGGATAAATATCTTTTTTTTTAAAGTGCATCTCAGCTGCAGCAAAAATGTGGAGTTTACTCAAAACGTTTCTTTAAAAAAAAGTAAATTTAAAAAATGTCTTAACAAGGAACCTCAGAAATCTATTTACAAAGAGATTAAATTAAATTTGCAGCAATACCTAGCTGAAACACTACATTTAATTACATTCTTGCTCCATTTAGTCACAGATGAAAACTGAGTTTCAAAAAAACTGGAATCCACAGCAAGTCACAGGCATTTTATTCATAATTTAACTTGCCTGAAAAATGGATAATGAAAACACAATTTTCAAATCACTGATACAATAATGCATAGGCAGAAAATAGACACCCTAATGAAATTAAAGAAATCTTGTGATGGGGCCATATATAATAAAAACACGACGTAAAAGAAATCAAACTTAGAAACAATGTTGTTGACTAAAACTCAGTGCTCAGCGCACAGGTCTTGAAGAGAGGCAAAGGCAGACTTGGACTGTGTCATACGAGGCAGACATTACAAACAAGTGCGTCCCTGCCAACTGAGTACAAGCACTAGTGGCTATACAGAGGTAATTATTTGGAGAAACGATCCTCCAGTCTAAAATTAACAAGGTGGGGCTTAGTCAGAGAAAGTGGGAAGTGTCATGTGAAATGAGTCTGGAGTTCAGAAAGGAGAGAATAAGTTTTTCATGGAAGAGAAGTGTTCAAAAGGGGAACCGTCAGTGTCTGCAACTAAGAAATCCAGATGTTCTACTTAATGTCCTATAATAGATCACACACACTCCTCACACAAATGCCAGCAAGAAGCCATTTTTTGTCTAAATAAAAAAGATAAGCCGAGAAGAAAAGGTAACGTGCAGGGGTCTAAATCCTGTAGTTTTGGGGAACCAATGGCACTCAGCACTTTGGTGGACAGTGACTGTGATGAATGTCAAACATGACACAGGAAGACTGACTGCTTGTGGAAAAGCAGAGGATGGGGTAAAAGTCTACTGAGGATGGGCATACTTGACTATGCAGTATTTCCTCCTTTTAGGGAATGTCCCCACAAACACACGTGTGGTTTGTGATGCCTCAAAGCAGTATTAAGTGCTACCAGCTGCATGCGGTGCACATGTTCACTGTGCTGCTAATTTGCAGCACTGGATTTTTTTGACACCCGGGGGTCCTGGTGTAAAAAAACCTGCTGCTAAAAGCAGCATGGCACATGGGCAGCAGTGCACACTGCCAGAAACCAAAGCCTGGCTGGCCAGAGCCATGCTCTCGCTGCTGGCTAGGCTCTGAGTGGCCAGATCACCGCCACTGCTCCCCCAAGAGACCCCCAGGTAAGGCTGCTGGGACCAGCACAGGTGCTGACCCCAGCCTCTCCTACCCCAGCTGGGACAATTTGCCCCACACCAACCCCATGTGCAGGGGTGCGCACAGCAGCAAAGAGCAGCAGCACAAATTGGTGCCGCTGCTATTTTTGTTGTGGCAACTACACATCCCTGCAAGTGGGGATGCTGCGCTCCTAGTGTCCAAAGTCCTAAACCACCCACAAGTTTAGCAGTCAGCTCCTTAGGGTTTCCTTTATCTCTGATGAGCCTTTATACCAATCCACTTCCAAAATCATTAACTTCAAAAGCCTCACCGTACTTAACTCCTTGTGTGCTCCAAGTTCCATAGTGGGCAGGGTCGGAAGGGACCTGAGCAGATCATCAAGTCTGCCCCCCTGCCATGGCAGGAAAAAGTACTGGGGTCAAACGACCCTGGCAAGGTGTTCGTCCAGCCTCCTCTTAAAGACCCCCAGGGTAGGAGCCAGCACCACTTCTCTTGGAAGTTGGTTCCAGATCCTAGCCGCCCTGACTGTGAAGTAGTGCCTCCTGATGTCTAGTCTGAATCTACCCTCTGCCAGCTTGTGACCATTATTTCTAGCCACTCCTGGTAGTGCTCGGGGGAACAGGGACTTCTGTTGTCTTATTGTTGTGGCAACACCAAATTGCTTCTTGCCTTTTAGTTTTTGGGAGGCTGCTCACTCGCAAAGCTAGATCCAATGTGTAGCACAGTGGTACTCAACCTTTTCAGACTCAAGGCACCTCTCCATAATTTTGGTGAACTAAATGGCTCCCCATCTCTCAAATTACAGTGCTTACCTGCTCTCACAGCGTGCTGGGCAGGAACAAGCTCTGTGCACCCTATGCCACTCTTAAAAGGGTCTTACAACACCCCAGGTGTCACTAGGCTAGTAGGACCTAGTATTTCAGATAGATTTTACAATCACAGGGAGGAAAATGTCCCCTTACAAGCAGTATCTTGCATAGGAAAAATGACAGGTGATTTTTTATCCAGGAAGTGACCAAGAGTACATACTTTGTATAAATTCTGTTCAAATCTGATTTGATATTGCAAGGCTCCTAGGCACACAACAGTGTGTTAGTTTTAACAGAACATTTTTACCATGGAATCCAGGATTTTTCAGGAAAAGTAGCTATGCCTCCATTCAAAGTGTAAGGTTACCAAAAAACATAAAAGCTTTAAGTGCAGAAGGGTAAACCCTGGAATGGATAAACCTCAGAATTTTAGTGAAATGATTACTAAAACTCATTCATCTCAACTTCCTCGTCTAAGGATCAAGACTTCTCCCACACCACTATTCTTATTGGTTTTGACTCACACCAAAACCTACCAAATTTAATTCCTTTACAGGCTGAAGATGATTATTAATTTCAGCAATGTACAATAAGACAAAAGTAGTAATGGAAACACCACTACCGTATTTAGCAAGGCAGGTGACACTAGTGAAGAATATCTAAGTAAATGTCTTTTTATTGCTACATAATAGTTGATTTGGCAAATTTGCCTGCTGTACAGTATTGTTTCTTTTGAGTGTCTGTAACTCATATATATGGATGGTGTGCGTGAAGTTAAGGCAGCAATAAAGAGCACAGGTAAGAAAAGATTGCCTTTTCCCTTTAAGGCAGGATCTGTTGACTGGATATCAATAAACACGTTTCTTTTTAAGATAGGATTCTGCATGATGTACTGTATTGTCCTGAGCATGCTGGTCAATGTATTCCACTGGCCCAGCATCTGGGGAAGAAATGAGGTACGAAGAGCCTCGCTTTTCACTTCTAACTGGTGCCACCTGCGGGAAAGAAAATAAATGACAAATCAGTAGACCAAACATCCTAAGCTGAAAGTGGAAGAGTAGGTTCAGATGTGGGAGCTACTGCTCCGACTGCACAAACTCCCATTCTCCTTAACAAATGGCCATGGTTCACTGCTGAGATACCTGAAAGTTTGAATCCTTTCCCAGACAGCGTAACTGCAAGTTCAATCCCATAAGTGAGTGTGCATGTCTGTGTAAGTACTGTTTAAAAAGAGGGTTCAAGAAGGCAGCTGCACTTTGTAGCTTATATTTAAAAATAAATATTTAATTTAATTTAATGGTGCAATAAACTCTTCTTCTGAGCCTAAAATGTACCAATGCAGTCTATTGCCACCATCAGCTGCAGAAATGTTTCTCAGCCACTACAGAGCAGGTGATTCTGGGATGCACGTTTCATACTGTTGTGCAAGGGAACCCCATGGACAGGCACCTGGGCCATTGTCCCACAGAATCTGGCCACCTGAAACCCTGGAAGCAGCAAAGCTCCAATCCTGTAGGACAATGGCCCAGGACAACATCTGTACCTGCCAAACAATCAGATAAGCTGCATTGGGGCACATCCCGGCACAACTGATCCCAGGACAAAAACAATGTCCCTTTGTAGCTTTAGATGGACAAGTACTACTGAGAAAGCTAGTAAGCTCCATAGGATCTAGCTTACAGGGCCATACCAAGACCTACTTGTTTTCCTCTAGTGGTATTTTGCATCTCTAAAGTGAATTATTAGCACATATTTCATTACTTGCAGCTCTAGGCCTGCAAATGAGTTAAAGCAGCAAGTACCTGTACTTGTGAAATACAATTGGAAGCACAAGCTGTACAGATGCAAATTATACAGGAGAGGAAGCAACTGGAAACATATAAGCCATGTTTGCATTTACTAAGTTCAGGAGTTCCTGTCAACTGAGAATCCCCCACATTCTGCCTACATGGACAGATGAACAGACGGGCACAGACACACATACACTCTTATTAGGACAGCTTTTCAAGTTACTTGTGTAGACCTTTCAGACTGCCCCAAAACCATTAAAAACAGTTGTAAAACACAGCTGCTAGTACCTGAAACTGCTACTTCTCCATTGTCTAGGTTTTCCATTACTGCCTACAGCATGTTACACAAATAAAGGCTAACATGAGAGAGACCATAAACTCAGTGTTGTGTTAAACACAAATAAATGTCCCAAGCTATCATTATTCTGTTTAATAATCTGTTTTCCAAAACAATCCCACCCAATTTGGATGCGTTTCAAAAATGGATTTGTTTTCTAAAGAACGGAGTAGGGACTTGGTTTTTTTTTTAAATGCAAATGTCTCATAGAAACACTGTTTTGACAAAATTGTTAGTCTTAGTTGATGTTTCCTTTCTGGGTGATTAGAATTTCAGTGAGTTCCAACCAGATGCCAGATTTACCTCTATGTCTTCCCAATCTTAAAGTGAAATCTTACTATAGTGCACAGCCATCGATTTCATCACATACAGCACATTCGCTGGCTTTGTTCCAAGATCTAAGCCAGTTCTAACCAATGTGTCTCCTACCCACAAAGTCAGGAACTACCATAGCTGCAATTTTTTTTTTCCAGATCTGCCCTTAGAAAACTAGCAGAGCTTTGTGCTGAGTTACAGGAGCAAACACCTCCAAGCCAGAACAGGATCTGCTGATACAGACTCTGTATCTCTGCATATTAGAGGAGAATGATGGTTGAAGAGATCTGTGATGAGACTGGGGGCTTGGGGTGATTGAATGCAGGACCCTGTGCCCTGTGCTAGGGCTGGTGGAGTTGTCCTGGGAATACTGCACAGTTCTATGTTTTCCACATTGTCCCTGCAGCCATGCAAGACCAAAGCTCTAGGGCCTGCTTTCCCCACTGGTACAATGGGACAACAAAAACTCTTGGTCTGTGGGGGAGCAGGGAATAATGGCTATTTGTAAAATACTCTGGGAATGGGAAGTGATAAGTTTGTGCTCTGTATTAGTAATTTCTATGCTTGTGAGCTACAACTATGGCAAACCCTCTATTATTACTGGTACCTGGGTCTGCACTGAGATTTCTTTCAGGATACAAGAGCTGTGCCTGGCTACTTCCATTCTATCTATGCTTCACGCTTCCTCTGGACTAGGTCTCTATTCCACAGTCTGCTCCACGTAAAGTCCAAAGTAAAGCATGGAATAATTCTGAAATGCTCTTTCAACACTGACGTACAATGGACATCATTAAAAGATAAATCCTGTATCTGTTGCAGTGAGATGAACACATTCCTTTGAGGGGTTGTGAAATATCTGTCACTGGAAGTTTTCCACTGCAGTTTAGATCTTGCCCTGAGGAGGCGAGGTTGGACTAGACAATCTCGAGGATCCTTGCAGACCTATTTTCCTATGATTCCACTACGCCTCTGCAGCAATTTCTTATTAATGGTGCTTGTTGTAAAATGTAAACTGCATCTGTATACTAGATAAGAAGGACATCAAGTCTATGTAAAGCCCAGCATGACAAGAAATAGTGCCAAACAGCCTTTTTCTTCCTGCTTCAAATGAGCCCAGCTCATTTACAGGCATTTATGCGGGTTCATCCTTGCAGATCTCGCCTTTTCAAGATGATTTTTTCTACATTCTTCTAATCCCCCCTTTACAGCTTTTCCCAATTAGGAGTTTCTGTACTGGTGTAAAGCATAGAGATCTCCAGTCAGATGCACACCAGCAGCGTTAACCAAGACTTGCTGTGGGGTGGCTTAATCAGGTGCTATTTGCATTTAATACCGGGAACTAGGGCTGTGCAAAGCTTCAGTAGCCAATTTGATTTGAAGGAGATTCAACTGAATCAGGAGACCAATTAAAAGCTCCGAATTGATTTGAAGCCTCTAAATCAATTTGGAAAAGCTTCAGAAAAGCTTTAGCCAATTCTGAGATTTGGCCATAGACTAAACAGGCAGTTGACAGCTGCCTCCAGCTGATAAGTCTGTTGGGGTTGGGGTAGGGGGGAAGGAAGGGGCACAGGGGAGGGAGGGCTTGAGGTTGGGACAAGTTGGGGGTGTGGGACTTGGGGAGGGGGGCAGGAGGAGTGCAGCATGTGGGCATGGCAGTGCTCAGAGCAGGGGCTCTGCCCTGCTGCCACTTCCCCAGCTACAGGGTGGGGAGGCAGGATGCAGGCGCAGCTTGCTCCAGGCAGAAGTGGGCAAGCAGCAGCAGGGCATAGCCCCCAGTTCTGCCACACCCACATCCCATGCCCCGGCTGGCAAGTAGCGGCAGTGCCTGTCCCCCTGCCCTGGCTAGCAGGGGGCGGAGACTCTTCTCTGCCGCCACTTGCCAGCCGGGGTGGGGGGTGTGGGATGCAGGTGCATCAGTGCTGGGAGCAGGGGCTCTGCCCTGCCACTCCTTGCCAGCCGAGCCAGGAGGGGTGGGTGTTGCCATTGCTTGCCAGCCGGGGCGGGGTGCATGGGATGCAGGCGCAGCAGAGCTGGGAGCGTGGGCTATGCCCTGATGCCACTAGTCCCCCTTCGCCCAGAGCAAGCCACATCTGCATCTCGCCTTCCCTCCTTCCCCAGCTTGGCAAGTGGCAGCAGGACAGAGCCCCTGCTCTGAGAGCTGCCACGCCTGCATCGCACACTCCCCCACCCTCGTCCCTGAGTCCCGGACCCCCTCACCCCAACTGGGCAGCTTGTCCCAGCCCCAATTCCTCCCTCCCTCACACCCCTTTCCTCCTCCTCCCCCAACCGATTTACCAGCTGGAGGCAGCTGTCGGCTGCCTGTTTAGTCTACGGCCAAATCTCTGAAGCGGCACTGAATCTTTCAGATCTGCTTTGGCCAAATTGAATCAGGACAATGATCTGAATCTCTGAATTGGCTGAATTCAAATCCAAAGCAAATACTTGCCGCTTCGCACAGGCTTACCAGGAACCACTTACGACCCTGAGATTTTCCCAGTTTGAAATGAAATGAGATATAAATGGAAAAGCTATGGGTCTGGCTTGGTAGAGTTTGCAAAGACTTTTCTGCAGTTGTAGCAACACTGTTCTCAATGGTGGCAGATGACAGAACAAGAAACGATGGTCTCAACTCGCAGCAAAGGAAGTTTAGGTTAGATATTAGGCAGAATTTTCTCACTAGGAGGGTAGTAAGAAACACTGAAACAGGTTACCCAGAGAGGTGGTGGTCCATCCTTGAAGGTTTTTAAAACCTGGCTTGACAAAGCTTTGGCTGGTATGATCTAGCTGGGGATGGTCCTGCTTTGAGCAGGGGGTTGGACTAGGTGACCCCCTATGTTCCCTTCCAACCCTAACTTCCTATGATTCATGTAGAACTGAAAATAAATTGTTTTCTTTTTAGCCATTTGGTGGCAGTATAACACAAAAAGCAGCCAACAATCAGCATTTAGACCTGGCCACATATGAAAATGCTTGGGTTAGTCTCTCCCCTCACCTTGTTTAATGGACTTTGTGAGCCTGGCAAGCTGCCTGGCTGATATGATCCCTGGGCTCCAGTGTAACAGGAAGGCATGACATGCAAGTAGGTATTGTAGTCTGGGTGTTGCCCGCCAGCAGATTCCTAAATGCAAAATAAGATCCGTGATAAATCAGAGGTCAAAACAAAATCCATTTTTTTTTAATAATGAATTCTTACTTAGTATAGTAACTAACAGTGGATGTTGAAATACAAGAGTCCAGCCCAGTTCCAAAAGGAAATTCAGAGGCAGCTCAAACCTGCAGCAATCTGGAATGCTCATACACACAATCCTTTGAAAAGACAGGCCATGTGCAGGTGTCCATATTTTTTCTGTTTTGCCTTTTGTTTGAAGCACCAATTTGAGGTTCTATAAAGGTATGATCATGAAACAGCTCTTATACGATATACTGTTGGGGAACCATGGAACCCTTCAGGTTGTAGAGTTAAGAACAGGAAAGCCTGGAGAGAATGTAATTCAAAGCTGGTGCCTGCGTCTCAGTGAAGTTGCAATGGGATCTGTTGTCTGCTGAATACCATTCAGTATACACAGTTTGGCAGCATGGGACCCAATATCAATGAGGGAGGTCTCTCATTTAGCTTTAGGATGCTGCACATCACAGAACAGATCAGTGAAAATACAAATAAAAATAGTTTTACTTCTTACCTCAGAAGCTTCATTTTCAAAATCCCCTACTCTTACTTGGGAAGCACTGTATGTTTGAGCACAGTGCTGGTACCACTGTTGGAGAGCCTCCTGGAAAAAGAGAATAAAACCTCTTTACTATCTGCTTTGCTAGGTCAATTTTAGGGCCTTGATGCATAGTAATTGTGGGCACATTCTGGAGTTCTTAACCCCTGGATTGTCTACACATCAACACCTGAAACTAGTCTTAAGCACTCATTAGGCAGTTCAAAGTTATACCACACCAGGGCAGGATTATTTCTGACCCAGGTTACCCAGCTCACATTACAATAAAGCGTAGCCACTACAGGCTACACCTGAGTGTAAACACGCATCCTTCTCCCCCCCAACATTGATCCGGATCAGGTCCAATGCCTCCTTCCTGCCCTCCCCAGCACCCCAGATTCCTGCTTGCTAACCACTGCCCCCTTCCTGCCTGCTCAGACACCACTGGCAGAAAAGAGCAGCAGTGGCCAGGCAAGCAGGTTAACCCTTCCCTGCCCCCTCCCCTGGGACAGACAGCATTGGCAGCCACAAGTAAGCAGGGGGTACCGGGGGAGAACCCAGGGGGAAGAGGGGAAGCCTGGAATCGGGTAGAGGGAGGATTTTTACATTTCAATCCTCCAGGCCCCTGCTAGCCTGAAGTATGACTGCTCCAAATTCTCTAAGACCAATCAACATTTGTACGGCTCACAGGGTAAGGTGTAACCAGACCCTTATTTTACAGCATTTTCCTGCATCCTTCACAGGGCACTAGATTTAATTGCTAAGACTCATCACAAGAAATTTAAAACTCAAACAAAACATTTCCTGGTAATACGTGAAGTGGTTATGTAATGCTCACTGCACAAATGTACAGAACCAGATGCAAGTGCAGTGTCATTTCAGTTATCTGGAGAGAGAGAGCAAGACAAGCATACTTGTATGATGCTTTAAGGGTATCTATGTACAATTTAAGAATTTTGGTTAGGCTGCACCAGGAAATCCTCAGTGCTTTGGAATCCATTTGCTATCAGTGTTGTGACAAGGGTCAGCGAGTGCTGTACTCTGTACAGTTCTGACCACCAAAGGAAGGGTTATAATAAACTAGTTCAGTTACATTAGTTTGCAAGCAGGATTTGGAACAGTGGCAGATCTTCACCAGTGGAAGCAAGGCACCAGGTTATATTACCTCAAGGAATTCACAGACTAAGAAGGGAAGTCAAGGACTGGAAAGGGGACAACAGGAGTATGCCTTTGTAGGCAGAAATCTAAGGAAAACTGTTTGGAGAGAGGAGATGCTCTAAGTCGGGTTCGAGGCAGGCAGATCGTGCCTGACCAATCTAGTCTCTTTTTATGACCAGGTTACGAAATGCCTGGACACAGGAGGAGGGGTGGATGTCGTATACTTAGACTTCAGAAAGGCCTTCGATACGGTATCCCACCCCATACTGGTGAACAAGTTAAGAGGCTGTGACTTTGATGAATACACAGTCCGGTGGGTGGCGAATTGGCTGGAGGGTCGCACCCAGAGAGTCGTGGTAGAGGGGTCGGTTTCGACCTGGAAGGGTGTGGGCAGTGGGGTCCCGCAGGGCTCGGTCCTTGGACCGATACTCTTTAATGTCTTCATCAGTGACTTGGACAACGGAGTGAAATGTACTCTGTCCAAGTTTGCAGATGACACAAAGCTATGGGGAAAAGTGGACACGCCGGAGGGCAGGGAACAACTGCAAGCAGACCTGGACAGGTTGGACAAGTGGGCAGAAAACAACAGAATGCAGTTCAACAAGGAGAAATGCAAAGTGCTGCACCTAGGGAGGAAAAATGTCCAGCACACCTACTGCCTAGGGAATGACCTGCTGGGTGGCATGGAAGTGGAAAGGGATCTTGGAGTCCTAGTGGACTCCAAGATGAACATGAGTCAGCAGTGTGACGAAGCCATCAGAAAAGCCAACGGCACTTTATCGTGCATCAGCAGATGTATGATGAACAGGTCCAAGGAGGTGATACTTCCCCTCTATCGGGCGCTGGTCAGACCGCAGTTAGAGTACTGCGTGCAATTCAGAGCACCACACTTCAAGAAGGATGCGGATAACCTGGAGAGGGTCCAGAGAAGGGCCACTCATATGGTTAAGGGCCTACAGACCAAGCCCTACAAGGAGAGACTAGAGAAACTGGACATTTTCAGCCTCCGCAAGAGAAGGTTGAGAGGCGACCTTGTGGCTGCCAATAAGTTCATCACAGGGGCACAGAAGGGAATTGGTGAG